AGACTCTGAAATATGGTAACACCCAGTCAACTGCCAATTTTAAGTGCTATCAAAATGACTAAGCAAGCTTGCTGTTCTCTGACAACAGAAACTTACACAACTGGGAAGTAATTTTTTTTTCCACATCACTGAGTTCCTCTGTATCAAACTCAGTAAAGAGCAAAAACACCAAATATTTGTGAGATGAATGGACTAGTATAGTACTTTCTAGTTTACAAAGCACTTTTTCATATTCTCTCTCATTTAATCTTCACAAAAGTACTAGAAAAGACAGGAATTACCATCCACAGTTGAACTGAATGGAACAATGACTGCTAATTTTTGCCCTGGATAGGAGTTGGGGAGAATTCCAAGTAAAAGAGATTAGCCTAAGCTTAGTCACCTAATAACATACCCCAGCAATAGTACCCACTATCCTCTTGTTTTACAGTATCCTTCCTATGAATGATCCCCAGATCAACCCATTCCCTTTGTTAGAACATTCATTTTTCTCTCTCAAAACTAAGTCCCCTCTTCTTTCTAAAAATTGCTGCTAAAGCCTCACCTGCTTCAAAAGACTGTCCCAGATTAGACCCTGCAGGCTCTTATCAGTATAAAAATACTTCCCCTTCCCCTCCCCCTTTCCAACCCTATTACATAAACTAATGCCTCCCAGCTGTTTTTAGTTATGCAATATATTTGTTGTTATACCTGCCACTTGAGTGTATGAGTTGTTTGCTGCCCTAATAAAAGGCATCTTGGTTTTGTTCAATTTCTCCCATTAGTGCATAAATTAACTTAAAATAATCCATAGTCTCTAATACAACTCCTCATTGTGCTGAGTAGCATTTTTTCATCTCCTTAACGTAACACTCATTTTACAAACTGAAGTACTGAAGAGTACATTAGCTTTGGAGTGAGATAAAACTGTATTTAAAACTCTCTCTCTTAGTATCTTTGCAATTCTCTGTAAATCCAAAAATCAATTCAAAATAAAAAGTTAAAACAGGAATAAAAAAACCCGCTACTTGTTACTGTATAACTGTAGTTAAATCATGGTACTCAAACTTAGATCTCAATTTTTACATCTGAACAATAGGGATTATACAGCCTATACCAAAGGACTGTTAGGACAGAGTTGCCTCAAACTAGAGCTCCTCAAAAGCAGGTTTCTGTTTAGTTTTACAATATTTTTTGTTAGAAAAATGTAATTTCCCCTCACTCTAACCCTTGATTGATCAATATCTAGCTAGAACTCCATACACAATTATGACTTATCCCCAATACTTCAGTGTCATCATTGACCATTCAGCACAACCATAAAGTACCACTGCAAACGATAAAAACAAGTAACCCCCACCCCCACACAATATACTGAGGTCACTCTGATCACTCATTTCTGCTCATCTCAATCTCTAGCCTCATTCCCAACTATTCACCTTTTTAACTTACAAACCCATTTCTCTATTTCTTAAGCAGCTTATTCCAGCAAGAAGGGTTAGGTGTGCAGATACCAGTAATTTTTATGTAAAAGAAGTACATGGAAGTAAGACTAAACAAAGGTGTGAAGTGGTAAGTCACTCCAACATGTACTCCTGGAGGATGACCTGTTCGTTTCCTGAACAGACTAACTCAGGCACTCAAGCATTTTCCCCTTGATCAGCAGTTTTCAAAGATTTTTTGCTATGGAACCCAATACGGAAAACAGACATGAACAGAAGCTGCTCCGGCTCAAATAAAGAGGGATGGGGTGCACAGTAGAACCTCGTCAGCTGAGCCCTTTCATAGAAGCTCAAGGCTCTATGAATCAGTATGAAAAATCATTGTCTTAGATGAGTGGTTCTCAAAGTACAGTCCAAAGGCTCCTAGAAGGCCCCAAGACCTTTTCCACGGGGCCCATGAAGTCAAAACTATTTTCATAATAACCCTAAGACATCATTTGCCTTTTTTTTTTTTTACTCTGCTGACTTTTACACCTAATGGTGGATAAAACTGTTGGAACCCGAGCATAAAACAAGACAATGGCCCCAAAGTGTAGTCACTAAATTCTTCACTGCTACTCACGTACAGCACACATACAAACAAATCCACTTTCTCTTGAATGTCCTTGATGAAGCAGTAAAAACTGATTGTATTACTGTCAACATTTCAGTACACATCTTTCTAATATTCTGTGTGATTATTCTTTGGGGTGAAATGGGAAGTACTCAAAAGCACTTCTACATATTGAAATACAAGGGTTGGCCCAAGGAAAAACACTTGTGTGATTGTGATTACTTTTGAGTAGAAAGCTGCATCAATTGATTTCTTTTTCATGGAACACCATTTTAACTTCAAATAATAAATGACAAACTATAGTTACTTAGATCTGAAGTGAAAATTGGAATCTTGAAAACATGAGTACACCACTATGAGCTTGTCAGTTTCCCAATTCTTAAAAAGATTTATCTGATGAAATGGGTGGAAACATTAGCAACTATAAACTTGTCAACATTTGGAAGAGCTGTCCAACTCAGTGAACCAATGATTTCTGAAAGACCAATATGTGATGTCATAAAATCATGCATGGGTAAACACCCATTCAAAGTACAAGATATACCAATGAATTTTAATGTAACATTGTACAAAAGTTCAGTGATATGGTTTCAGAGTCCATGTTGCAACAAACCTTTAAAAAACGTTTGAGTGCAGTATCAAAAGAGAATATAATTATTTGAAAAGGCTATTAAAACATTCCTTCCTTTTCCAACTACCATATCTGTATGAGGCTGGATTTTCTTCACATACTTCAACCAAAGCAATATAACAACCACCTGAAAGCAAAAGATTTGCAAAGCTAGTGGTCTTCTATTAAGCCAAACATGAAAGAGATTTGCAAAAACGTAAAACGATGTCATTCTTGTCACTAATTTTTCATAGTTATTTATATTAACAAATGTTTATTGTTTTTTAATCAATAAATCTTTAAAAAAATTGGTTTCAGTTTCTCATACAGTAAATGAGTAAGTATAACCCACATAAACAAAAGCTGCTGAGTCTTATATTTCTTAAAAGTACAAAAGAATCCCAAGGTCTTAAACTGTGAGAACTGCTACACCAATGCTATACCCTCCTTCTAATTCATGACTCCAGTTTCATTATCCTCCAATATTTACCCTACTACCTACCAGCTTGAACTCACTCTTGGTATCAGACTTAGTAATTGGGGCTGTATTTTAAGAAATAATTTCTCTACTAAAAAGTTATAATTGTTTTGCAATACACTGAATTTAGTACAAACTCTTCAATGTAGCAGTGTTTATTAAATTCTCAGAATCAGTATAACGGGACAAGACCTCGATTCACGTAGCATCAAGTGTATGAGTGAAATGGAAAGATAACAGAATCACATAACACCACATTTAATTACATCAATTCAACCACAAGCTCTTTTGCCATCTTCTGCAAAAACAGAAATAAACATTTTTCTATTTACCCAATGGTGTATCCCTTTTCATACAAGACTTTGATTTCTTCTACCCCAAAGAAAGGGACGCTACCATAGAAATGAAAGGAGAAACTAAAGAAAGTGACTCTAGCACTCTTAGTTTTTCAGCTTCCCAATACCAGATTTCAACAATTTAGGAGTTTTCAGGGACAATTTTCACCAAATGCAACTTATTAGCTGACTCCACAGGCTTATAGACAAGACAAAGGTAAGATGTATATTGAAATACTGGGAATGTTTTCTTTAGAGCAGTGGTCTCAGTCAGGGGCAGTTCTGCCTTCCAGAGGACATTTGACAATATTTGGAGATATTCTTGTTTGTTACAATTTGGGGAGGGGGTGTTATGGATATCTTAACGAATAAAATACTATTAAACATCGTGCCATACACAAATGTCAAATACTTAGTTCAATTCCAAATGCAAAGAATGCACCAAATTCTTGAGACATTGTTTACATACCTTGTCTCTAACACCTACTGTTAAATCTCTACATTTCTTAGTGCCTGAAGCTTTTGAAAAACTGCATGATTACAGATGAGCTCTTTATTGAAAATTAAACATCGTATACTACCTCTAACTTCCTAAGGTTAACTGCTACTACAAAAATAATATCACGATAAAGTAATATAACCAATTTTTCCAAGCTGTGAACTTGGTTCCCTAAAAGTTGTGCTTGCTCTTAGCTACCTAGGAGCAAGTGGACATGAATAAAGTCAGGTACCAAAGTACCATGTGACACATGAATGTTAAGGGTCCTCTTATTTGGGCCTCAAATTTCAGGAGTACACAGTTTCTTTACAGACTATTTTTAGGCTTAACTTCTCCATATTTGTTTATTCATTCAAGCAAGCACACGTACTGAGGGCCTACTGTGTGCCAAGCAACCTGAATACAAAAAATATTTTACCACAATCTAATAAAAAGACAAACAACTAAAATACAAAATGATTTGTGCTATAAATAGAAGTATCAAATAAGTGTTATGGGAGCTTGCAGGGGAGAGAATGCCAGGAAAGGCTTCCCAGAAGAGAGTGATGTTTGAACCGAGAAAATGTCACAGAAAATACACCCTGTTCACCTCTTGGTATTAAGGCTACAGTTCTCATCTTCTTTTATACACTAGTTTTTCAGTTTTTGCTTCGTCATCTAAACAAGAGGAAAGTGATGATCTGACTGATGTGAACAGACCAAAGTAGCAACTAATTCAATTTCATCATATCTCAATGAAGAATCAAAAAATAACTCTATCAAAGTATTTCCCAGTACCTCTTCCTGTCCAACCGCTGCTTTTGTTAAATATCCCAACCTCTTCCACCAAGTTCCAAACACACCGTCTGTCACTCAGTTAACAAGTGTTTCTTTCTGCATTTATAAGACCGTCTCAGTGAATGATCACTGCTTTTTCCTTTCTTCGTCAGCTTCTCCCCCAATAGTTTAATTTTCTTTCATTATTCTACTGCAATTCTTGAATTCAGTAACAGAGAGCAGCTATGGGTTCAAAGGTACGAGAGGTACAAAATGACTGCTGTGTACCTTTCTAAGTCTTGTCCGTATTTCCTGCTTTCTATTCCAATACTGTTGAAGATCACTAGCTGGATGCTTCCTTCTGAGTCTCCAGCAGCTGACACAAATAAAAATGTTAGATCTGGAACAGGAAACCAGCCAATGGCATGTAGTTTATCGATTCATTTCCAATATATAACATAACTGACATTCTTGAACCAACTTTTAAGTTTAGTTCTCATGGTCTAGGTTAGGGTACCACTAACGATGCTTCTGCCTTACCAAGAACAGAGCTGGTGGCAACTAAATCGGAAACGCTGTGGAAGACTATGTCTGCTTCTCACTACCAAATGTCCCCACCTTAATCCCTTCCACCCTTCCAAAGAGAATCCTCAGTAATGGCAAGCTGGAACACCCTTGGAGGGTGGTGTAGTAGAAAAATTTCTAGATTGAGTCAGAACTGGCACTGGCTAATCCTGTTTCTTCTCTGGGCCTTGGTTTCTCCAGCTATAAAACTTGCACGTGCTGTAGGATAGGGGGATTGACTTAATTTTTAAGGTCTTTATGACTATAGTAACCTAGAAACCTCACCTTTCTCTTGGTCTAGCTTTACATGGAACACGTGGGAGAACAGAAAATAAGCTTTCACGCCATTAAACCTATCTTAATTCTCAGATAGTGTTCTAAAAAGCTAACCAACTGCCGACCCACCCATCCTCCCCGGGGACTGCAAATTTCTCCTAGGAGAAGCCAAGGCATATACAGCTCATTCCGCACGACGGTCAAGGAAGTGCTGGGGAGACCGTATGCAGGGTCTTAAGGCGCTGCTCCCGCAAAGGGCAGGCCCACCTAATCACCACCGGGCAAATGAATGAGTACGACCAGCCAGAGAGACGCTCCCGCAACGTAGACTGCAATGCGAGACCCCGGGGCCCAGACTCCACGGATAGCGAATCCTTCCGCCGGCCCAGAGAGCCGCGCCTCGGGGCCACAGGTTCGCGGGCCCCGCCCCCTCCCTCAGGGCAGAAGGTGCGCGCTGGGGCGCGAGACTCCGGCGCTGAGAGGGCCTGGGACGCTCAGCGCACTCGCCCGCCCTGAGGGGAGGAGGAGCCTGCCGGTCCCCGGCCGCCACAACCCCGGCTTCCGACTTACCGCCGTGAGGTGGGGGAGAGGAAGTGTCAGGAGTGAGGGCCTAGGCCCGTCTGCCACCCGCCGCTCAGCGAGCAGCGCGCGGCCGCCACGAAACCGTCGCCACCTCCACCACCACCGATACCGACCACCGCTTCAGGCGCAGCGCGCAGAGGGCCCGACTGCGTCACACGCCGCCCGCCGTCAGGGGCTCGCTCCGGGCGCTCCGCCCACGCCGTCTGCGCATTGGCAGGCGCCGCCGCCACTCTAAGTCCGCCCTGTTACTCATTGGACCACGAGTCTTTTGAAACTGAACGTGAGGGCGGTCTTCGGGAGACGGGAAGAGGGGGAAGAGGAGGGACAGGAGGAATTAGAGGGAGGAAAGGGGAGGGTCGGTGGGAGGTTCATGGAGTCCCGCCCCTCGTCGCTGCGGTTGGCTAGGAGAGCGTCGTGACGTCACAAGGGCCCCTCGGACTGGGCTGGTGAGTGGCTACATCGGGCGGAGTGTGGGAGAAAAGTGATGACGCTATGCAGAGGCTCCGCCCCCTCCCATGGAGCGGAGAGACTCCGGCTGCTGAGGCTCGGGCCAATCAGAGTGAAGGCTCCAGGATGGCATGGTAACTATTCTACCCTTCCCTTGCCCTCGTCCGCGGGCGGTGACGGGAAGGCTCCCCCGCGATCCTGCCCCCACTTCCTGGACAGACCACAAGCGGAGCTAGAGGGCTCTCCTAGGAGGTCTGTCTGTCCGCGTAGCTCGCCTGCAGCTGCTCCGGGCCCTCCAAACCTGGTCTCCTTGTCTCCAGACCCGTCCCAGCCCCAGTACAACCTTTACCTCTCTGAATCCCTAGAATGGACGTTAGGAGCATTAGAGATGTCGTAAGGAAATGGCTCAGCTTAGGGTTTGGTACAAATGACAGTTCTCAGAACTTCTTTGCCACCTCTACTTTAGGAACCCCTACTTATTCTTAAAGGCCTGGTTGAAATGTTGCCGCCGCCTCTGGGATACACTTGCCCATCTTTCCCAGCGAGTTGAGGATAATGCTTGGGCAGGCCTCTGTTACAGCCTTGTTACTTTGTATTCTGTTATCTCCTTTCCTATCCTCTGTGCCCAGGATCTCGGAGCTCAGAGCTTCATTTTCATCTTGGTGTTCCTTTCTCCCCGGGCTTTGCCCAGAGCAGAAGCCTGATATCTCAAGGGGATGGGTTGAGCATGTTCTAGAAATTAGATCTAGTGACTGAGGGTCCCACACAAAATAGCAGGGACTGTACTGAGAAGGCAAAACTTACTAGGAATACCGCTCCACCACCCTCTCCTCCTGGGACATTAATACAAGATAGAAATGAGCTCTGCCCAAAACATAGATAAACCACTCTGGGTTTCCAGTGGTGGCAAGAGGTAACTAGTCAAAAAGTGGAGCAGTCATAAAGATAGGATGATGGATAGAAAAAACTTGGTACACTGTAGATGTTCATTAGATGCTTGAAGGAAGAAAAATATATATGAATGGTCAAATAATAAAGCTAGTTTAAACATCTGACTCCGGACACCTTCCCCTAGCTCTTCCATCCATACATCACTCTCTTCCCTCCACCCTCCCTTGCCTATACTCTGCATCAGAAAGCCATTAGCTCTACCTGAAGAGTTACAGTAGCTTCCTCACTGCCTTCCTGAACCTTTGATTTCTCACCTTCCAATCCTCAAATCCAACTATGTTTAAGCCTCTTCTCTGTTTATTCTGGTGTCCCTAAGGGCAGGTATACAGCATAGGCACACATTAAATGTTTGATGCATGAATGAGTGAATTATTTTCTTAAGTAGAATAGAAGCATGGGACTCGAGTAAGAGAATGCTGGGTTTAAATCTGAGCTCAGCCATGTATTAGCTGTATGAACTTGGGCAAAATTTTTAACCCCTCTGAACCTCAGTTTTCTTGTCTGTTAAATAGGGATAATAACTCTACTTGCCTCAAGAGTTGTGAGAATTAAATGAGATAAGACACTTGTCATGGTACCTGGTACACATAAGCCCTCAAAAAGTGATATTATTTGTGTTCTTTAAAAATGTTAAGGAATTCCCATTCTAAATATTCTACTACATGGATTCTGACACAGAAAAGGAGCTCAGAAATGTCTTGAGTGAGTAAGTGAGTATTTTCAGTCCAGAGTACTAGCAAGTGTTCAGGAGCTGGGCTCCTTAAAAGAGTATACTTGTGGGAAGACTGGAGGAGGAGACATTGGATAAGGAGTGCTCCAGGGGGGAATTTTGTGTGATCATGGTGATTTCTAAGTAGCAAGCACTCTTGTTAGGTACTCTGGTAGGTATGTGGCCCTAGGAAGGACTTCTTTGTGGGCCAGGGCTTCCTGGGCCCACATACTCTTACTCTGCCTTATTCTCATAACACCCTTTTTGAATCCCATCATCTTCCTTCTACTCTAATGCCAAGGAGTTTGCTGAGCCAGTCCCTGTCTTGGGCATCAGGAGCCCAGAGATGTCCACAGGTCAACACTGCCCTAGCCAAGTGAGACAGAGCTAAGTAAAGTTCAGTTCTGTCCTGGGAGCTCCCAGTCTCTCTTACACATGCCCTGAGAACTCACTCTATGCAGCTATGAGGGACTGATGCCTAGGGAGGAAAGAGACCAATAAGGGCTGCAGAATTATGAAAGGGCAAGAGACTTCCTTCTAGAGAGATGATTCTAGATTTCTTATATGGTACACTGGAAAGAGCCACAGAGTTAGACTCAAACAAATCTAAGTTCAAGTCCTGGGTCTGCTAGTTTTTAGACCTTGCACATTTTATTTAATTGTTCTGTGCCCCAGTTTCCTTGTCTATAAAATGGGCACAATAGTTTCTATTTAGGAAGGTGCTTGTGAAGGTCAAATAAGATCGTAGAATTTGCAAAGGATTGGGTCCCTGTTTGGCACATAGTAAGCACTCAGTAAATGTTGATTTCCTTCTTTTTTCCTATGACTGTATAAGGAAGGGTAATGTTTATAAATGGCATATAATTAGATTTTTATAATCTTGTGTGAATACATTTGACTTTTAACTAGAGCATTTAGTAAATTGTATTGAATGAATTTACTGGTATAGTTACAGTTTCATCTAACATTTTAGACTTTCTATTTGTCCCAGCTATTCTGTTTCTGCTGCTCTCTCTCTCTCTCTCCTCCTTTTTTTGTGGGGGGAGTGGAGGGGGTTGGTGATAATAACTGCCATTTATTGAGGTCCAGCTCTTTGCCAGATTTTTTTATAAAATTGCAATGTAGTTCACATAATATCACATTCACCCATTTAAAATGTACGATTCAGAGGTTTTTAGTATAGTCACAGGTTGCAACCATCACCATTGTTATATTCCAGAACATTTTCATAACCCCAAAAAGAAACCCCAGACCCATTAACAGTCATTCCCCATCTCCGTCTTCCTCCAGCTTCTCACAACTGCTAATCTACTTTCTGTCTCAATGAATTTACATATTTTGGACATTTCATATAAATGGAATCATACAATATGTGGCCTTTGTGTCTGACTTCTTTCACTTAGCATAATATTTTCAAGGCTCATCCATGTTGCAGCATGTATCAGTACTCCATTCCTTTTATTCCATTTTATGACTATACCATATTTTGTTTACATATTCATGAGATGGGTGGCATTTGAGTTGTTTCCACCATTAATGATGATTATTCCATTACTCCATTATGAATAATACTGCTGTGAACATTTATGTACAAGTTTTTTTGTGGATGTGTGTTTTCAATTCTCTTGTGTTTATCCCTAGGAATGGATTTGCAGGGTCAGGTGGTAACTCTATATTTAACTTTTGGATGAACTGCCAAACTGTTTTCCAAAGTGACTATACCATTTTACATTTCATAGTAATGCTTGAGGGTTCCAGGTTCTCCACATCTTTGCCAACACTTGTTATTTTCTTTTTTCTTTTTTTAAATTATAGCCATGCTGAGTGAAGTGGCATCTCATTATGGTTTTTCTTATACATTTCCCTGGTGACTAATGATGTTGACCATCTTTTCACGTGCTTATTGACCATTTAAATCTCATTTCTTAGTCTTTTGGATTATTTCATTTTCCCTTTTGTGTCAGTTTGGAAATTAAATTCTTTTTCTATTATTTTAGTGATCTCCCTAGAAATTACCACATGCTTTCCTAACTTACTAGAGTGTCATGCTAATCAGTACCTTTAGAGGAAGGACAGAATTTGCTGAGAGGCAAAAAGATGCATTCCAGCCCAGATGAACTGGGAGAACAAAAATGTGGGACCGAGAAAGAGCTGAGTGAAAACTAGGACTTCATCTTAGAAGTGATAGGGGAACCAAAGAATGTTCTATAGAACAATGAAGATGTAATTATTATTTGAGGCAGAGTGGAACTAGAGTAAGATGGGTGAGCCTAGGGTGAATAGTTTAAAGCCATCCAAGAAGGATGTCTCTGCCTTCAAAAAGATCTCTGGGAAGAACACTCCTTCTCAACACAGGAGTTTCCTGAGGTTGCCAGGAGACAAGGCAGAGTTTGGCCATCTGTGTTCCTTTTACCTACCCCCCAGCCATGCTAACTCTACCCCACACTCCATCCCCAGCAATTTCTTCTACTTCTCCTTCTTCTTCTCCTCCTCTTCCTCCTCCTCCTTCTTCCTCCTCCTCCTCTTCTTCCTCTTCTTCTTCTTCCCCTTCCTAGTTTTTTTTTAAGGGGGTGAGGTTGTTAATTAGGTTTATTTATTTATTTTAATGGAGGGACTGGGGGTTGAACCCAGGACCTTGTGCATGCTAAGCATGCACTTTACTACCGAGCTATACCCTGCCCCAGTTTCTTCTTGATGTATCTAAATCTTGCCCATCCTTCAAAACTCAGTTCAATTAAATCAATCGAACGAATATTTTTTAGGCTCCTACTGTATGCCTGTCCGTGGGCTAAGGTCAGAGATGTAGAAATAAATGGAACAGGTGGGGGTGGTGTGTTTAAATGAGCTCCCAGGAAGGTAGGGGAGACAGGCAACAAATTATTTTGCTTCATCGTGGACAGAACCCTAATAAGGGCGATGGAAGTCCATCTAAGGCCACCTGTGGAGTGGGGAGGTGAGCGGGTCATGGGGGATAGGGAAAGGTAAGGAGGAAGTTAAGCAAAACTTCACGGAAGAGGTGAGTGTAGCTAGAATGTAAAATATGTGATTTCTGGAGTAGAGGCTGGCCAGATTATGAAGGGTGTATAATACCACACTAAAGAATTTGCTGTTTATCCTAAAAGTCCTGGGAAGTTACTAAATAATTTGCAAGGGTGGGACGTGATCAGATCTGTGTTGTAAGAAGAGCCAATATGGCTGTAATGGGAAGGATGATGGAAAGATAGAGGGCAGTGAAGGAGTGAAGGAGATCTCCTACAGGAAACTTTCCCTGACAACTACATCCCACATTCACTTCCCCTCTTCTGCCTCTCACCTCTACATGCTCCTGGGGGCTGGAACATCACTGAAAACAAATGCTCAGTCATCTTGGGATATTTGGTATATGTATGTGGACAGGGAGGGCAGAGTGGTAATTGCAGCTGAAGCTGGAAAACGGTGGTGCTGTTTCAGGTACAGGCCTCTCTGGGGTGTGTCCAGGTACCAGGCAAACCAGCCAGGAGGGTAGGAGACACTGGAAGGCTTCAACAGCAGCAGTGGCTACTTGGACAAGAGACACATACCAATTCAGCACACACTGAGTGCCTGCTGAAGAGCAAAACTAGATGCTTAGGTGCTTGTTCCACTTTATCTGTAAAATGGATTTCATCACACTTACCTTATCAGATGATTACATGGACCGAATAAGAGAATGCACATACAGTCCCTGGCACATAGTAGGAACTCATTATTTTCTTCCACTTTCCCTCCTGTAAATCAAATAGGTGATAGACAGTCTTTCCAACTGAGTGGAAGAAACAGATTCAGAGAGCATCAATGACAGTTGAAGTCAACTGAGGATTTCCACGTGCCTGGCACACTGCTATATTACCTCATCTAATTCTCACAACTCTATGATGTGGATAGTCCTAAAACCAATTTACAGGTGAGGAAACTGAGACTTAGGAATGTAGGGTGGTGAATTGCCCAAATCACCAGAGAATTAAAGGTGAGATTAGAGCACCTCAAGTTTCAGGCATTGAGGGTAGTCTAGAGGCAGAGAAGGGACCTAGCCTAAGGGAATTGTATCTAGGGCCAAAGGGACAGACAAAGGGTTAAGACAGGGAGCAAAGGCCAGGAGCAGGCATATGGGAGTTGGAGCTAGACAAGCCCCAAGGAAGAAAACCTAAATCCAGTTATCAGAAATGAATGGGGGTGCTTCTTTCAGTAAAGTTTTACTAATTATTCTTTGCCCCTGGGACCTTAGAGGACAGGGTAGGGGAGAATTCAAAGTCAAGTAAAGTAGTTTTTAGAATGACACCTTCCCTGCAGACTCCTGCCAAGGGCTTGCCCCAGTTGCGACCCAGGCTGAATGAATGAACAAAAGTGGATGCATGCAAAAGAGCTCTGGCAAATTAATCTAATTTGAGCCTCCATTTCCCCATCTGCAAAGTAGTGATTATAGCTACCTTGTGGGACTAACAGTTTATAGAGATTAAGGGAATGGCCTCAGGTGCCAGGTTCGAGTCCTGGTTCTGACATTTACTAGCTATGTGAGTAGGTAACTTACCTTCTCTGTTTTCCATTGGTAATGTGGGGATATTAATAGTATCTACCTCATAGGGCTTTTTTGAGGATCAAATGGGATAACAAGTAAAAGGTAGAAAAGTGCCTGAGACACAAAGAGTGCTCAAAATGTGCTAATTATTACTGTGGGGATTTAAATGGGGGATAATGTGATGGTAATGGTGTCTAGCTCAGAGGTCCTCCACCTGCTACAGGTGCTCGGACAACCCCACATTGTAACTGTAGGAGAGATTTCTAGTCCTTTCTTTCCTTTTCCCTGTTGAGGTAGGATGGTCTTTACAAAGGTAGCCAGGAGTCCCCCTCACGTTCCTTTATGGGTCAGTCAGGGTCAGCAGGGAACTCTGGCTGGGGTCTGGTTCCTGGGAATCAGCGCTCTCATTGTGGGGAGAGACCCACGGCTGACGGCAGGAGAGCCTCTTTCTGTTCTGTGACAGACGGGACAGGGCGCCCTCTCCTGATCAAAGGCGGGTATAGCTCTGGTCCAGAGTTTCTGGAGTGATTCCCCACGGGATCTTGCTACCTGTAAAGGTTCTCTTCCCTTTCCTGAAATGCCCCAATTCAGCTCTGGACAGCAAAGTTTGGGGGAGGGGCACCGAGGCTGGGGCTAAGCTGGTTTAATGTTTCAGTAGGGCAAGGCTGGATAATTCGTCTAGATTGGGAGTGGGAGGTGGGTAGACTGCGGTCAGGAAATGAGAGAATTCAGGACCCTGTCGAATTAATTTTATGTTCTTTCAACAGGTGATGGAACGCCGCTAAGAGGTAAGGTGACAAGGTGACTTATCCAACGTGTCAAACCCAGGTGTCCAGGGCTCTTCTGGCTGCCCCTACGCCGACGGAATTAGTGGGGCAGACCGGGGCTGGAGCAGCATCGCATGAGGGGACAGCAGATTAAGCGGGGCAGCCTGCGGTCACGGGCCTCAGAAACGGGGAGGGGCCAGCAGTGGATCTGGGCGCAGTTTCCTCCCCAAGTTCCGCCCCAAGCGC